CCAAGTTGATATCTTTCCAAGCAGGATCTGAGTGTGCAGCAGTTCTGCTTTCCATTTGGAAATTACCAATGCAGTCACAAACACATTCTCAGTAACTGCCTCAATAGTTTTAAAAGTACTTATTTTTCCACTTAGCCGTTCATTTGCCAAACATTCAAATCTTGCTGTTCACTAAAAAGCAGTCTCATCACTGAAACATTAAAGACAATCCCTAATAGCAAGAATCAAGTAAAATGATATCCACTGCTTGATTCCTCTCCATAACCACAACATAAAAGCAAGCAGAACCAGTTTTTCTATTTTTAACTACAGTATCAAAGAAAGATGATACACTTTTGATTTTCATTCCATCTTTTCTTTCACACAAATGTCAACAGTGTTTCTGAAATGACTACAGCAACTTCCGTGAGAAGAGTGATTGCTGACCATAATTACCCATTAGCAGATATTACAAGGGAACTGGGAATCTCTAAACACCAAACAGAATTATTGGAAGAGTACTGCTGGATGAGTTACGAATCTCAGACAAAAACAATCTAGAGTTCAGTGGGCCGCACAACTCATTTAGATTGGGAAACAAAGGTTTGCAATCCTTTTGGATTTTGAACACTTCATAGCAGTCACCACAGGAAATACCGTTCACATTACAGACGATTTCCTTTCAGAAGATAGTTCCAAGTGCTAGCCTGCAGCCCTTTTGGCCTCTTCTACTGCTAGAAGGACGTTAAAAGGAGAACTGATGTTTTTAATGACTTCTCTGCTACCTGCTTCATTCCGTGTGCAGGTAGGTCTCTTTACAAAGGTAAATCATTTTTACATTTTGCAGTTTCTCATGCAACATTCCACCTTTCTTATTTATGTTTAATTTGTGAAGAGATTCTTCTGGTATACAGAAAAAAATCTGATCTAGATTAACCTTCCACTCATCACTCAAAACTCAATTTAAATACAAAACAGTGTGGCAATTGGAAAAAATAAATCAGGAGGTAGATGTAGCCCCACCACACATCAAAATGGCCATTATTAATGAAACAGTACAAAGGTTAAACTGTGACATTAAATCAGGTAGACTATGCACTTTAACTTCGAGAGCTGTAATGACACTTGGGCTGAACATCCTGCAAAGAAAGAGTAAAACTTAAACTTTCTCTTTTCACATTCCTTTCTGAAAAGATTGCTTTTTCTTGTGCTGTTAATCCTACAACAGTCTTTAAAATCAGACCAAGATGAGCAGTAGTAATTTGAAAATGATTTTCCGGTCGCTAGCAGAAGGGGAAGGTGTGAAACATCAGAGGGTGTATTTTCCCTAACCTGAGTCATGCAGCTGGCTCAGAGTCCCAGGACGAGGTGGTCTCCCTCACAAGCCCCTCTCCTGAGGCGCACAGCCTCCCCTGGCACCTGGCTACTGCACTCACCTGCCTCCGGGCTGGGCTGGCCACTAAACAAAGCAGCAGTCAGCCTTGGTGGTCACACCTCTGTCACTGCACTGGAGCGTGTCAGCGAGCAAAGGTGGTTGCGGAGCTCGGAGCCAGCCTAGCATTTGGAAAGGCAGCAGGCAAACCACATGTAGGAGGGCTTGGGAACTGACTCACCCCTTCCCGTGGGTCTGCAGCCCAAGGAAAGGACACCGATAACATCACCTCTGGATCTGGGGTGGGGTGGTGGTGTTCGTGTCTAAATACCATGATGGTTACAGGATCTGCTTTGAGGATAAGATAAGCTGGTAAAGAAGGAAAAAGAATTCATACAGCCAGAGCAGCACAACTGAATTAGATGGGAGGGTTTACTACTGTTCCAAAATGGAACTGTGCAACGACAGTTCAATCAACAAATCTATTAGGCCTTATAATTAACTTTATTTCCATCTCAGCAGGAAAGAAAAAAGTGCTATTATAATGCTGATTTTCGTAAGCAGCCAACTCTAGGGTGTAAAACAACATATCACACCAGAAGGAACTCAGCTGTGCTTTGTATCTTCCAAAGTCCAAGGTGCATGATTGCTTCATGAGTCCCAGACACTCTGTCCTATCTTACTGATAGATTTTCTGACTTCACCTGGTTTAAAATTGAACTCGCAACTACAAAAGTCAATATCCCACTTACACTAGGTTCTCAATGATCTATTTAGAAGTTGTGTCTCTGAGCACCGTGTCCTCAGAAGTCTGGGTGAGTTTTCAACTTTATCAAAAGCAGCTTGAAGTTATTTGTAGTAATAAAACCAGCAATATTAAGCAGCTTATACAGCATTTGAGAGGAAAAAGAAAAAAAACACCAAAAAACCCAGCATATTTAAATCGAAGACTACAGGCAAAAATAGAGTGTACTATAGAAAGCCTCAACATTTCCCACTGAATATCCATAACTTTTAGAGAAATTGAACTCCCTGATATTTTCAGATTTATTTTTTTTTAATGAGTGTGGGGAGGAAATACATTATGCTAAGTAATACTGAGTCAATACTGAAATTAACACTAAAAAAAAAATAATCACTTTGAGAGGTATAGTCAGACTGACAAGAAATTCTTTCAGATGTCATCATTTAGGATACAGAATTATAAGCATATAGCAAACAGAAAAATGCTAAAGCTGACAAGCTATCCAAGCTCAGCTGAATTACATCTAGAATCTAATCTCCCTCATTTGTATAGCAATGTTTCAAATATCCCTCTGCTTTTCTGCCTCACTAAAGCAATCAAGTAGCACAGATTGCTGAGGTGACAGAGCCAGTGTAGACGGACGTAGCTTGACTCTTCTAATTACAGCTAGGAAAGCCAGGAGATGATAAAAAAATAAATAATCACAGTGACTGCAACAGACATCCCCCGTTACCCTTATCTTCTCCCCCTTCCCATCTCATTTAGTTATTTAGGGGGAGTGTTACAGTTCCAGATAAACGTGTGTTTCCCACCTCTAGGGTAAACAGTATATTTGCACAGAACAGGTGCAATCATAATATGGCAAGGGATAAGGGGCATGCTGTGGGCGGGAGGAAGATAAAACCTGTCCTGAGCAAGATAAGCAACCACTTGCTGTTTAGATTTAGGTTCAGTTCAACCAAAGACAGGGAAAAAGAAGCAGGCTCAAAGATGAAAACCTCTCTTCTCTCTCTATTTCCACATGCTGAGTAGAAATACAGACACAGCTGAGTCTGCACTGCTGCACTGAATCCAACCACCTTGCTTTCTCAGGCTTTTCATTCTTCCAGCATCTAGATTTTTGGAAGAGTGAACAACACAGACATTCATACAAAAAATATACCACTGAACAGTAGGTAACTAACCTGTAGGGCTGCTCAAAGCACAAATCAGCACTATTTTCATAACATACTCTGTCATCAAAAGCTATTACAGAACTAAGAATTTTCAAGGAATTGTTTCAAACATCATAACAAAAATTCAAGAGTAAGTAATAATACAAGAATCACATTGCTCATTTTTTCTGCCAAAGGCAATGATTGTTCTTCCCACCTGATCTTCCGCAGCATTCTTCAGGTTAGTATTCCTCCAGAAGCAAAGAGATCTGCAAGCAGCTTCACTTTGGAAATAAAGCTCAGCCTGAGGCTGAGGGATGTTCAGTGGAAAGGACACACAGTACGAATATTTTTATTATGGTATAAAATGCCCGTTAAGTTTCAGAAAGCAAAGCCTTCCCATCAAATGGGGGGCAGGAGACACTAAATCCCATCCTCCTTGTTTAATGACTACCACTTAAACAGTAAGTTCTATGGAGTATGTGTTTTTAAACATCTTACTTCTGTGCACCATTTATTATGTGGGGATTTTAAGAGCATCTTCAAATATCAACCATGCAATATTGGTTACACCACCACATCTGTGCTTAACAGCCAAAACCAAAACTAAAACTAACACTTGCAATGAGGAAATTCCCTCCCTTGGAGGGTAAGTGTGAAAGCACCACTATGGAGATGTGCCTATGCTTTGAACAGGAAGCACTCTTCCTGCAGTTGTACCCTACCTCAGGGCACAACAGCAGCCAAACAAGAACTGTTCTTGTAAGAAAGTTTTGAAAAAATACAATAATAGGTTTTAAAAAAGGGCCCTTTACAGATTCACTCTGAAAGAAACCACCACCAGTGGGGTGCAAACTTACAAACTCTTGGCTTTTTAGTCATACTTTAAGCAATGCAAGCTTCAGAATTGTTGTACAGGAGTCACACACATTTATCACGCAGGCTACATGCCACAGATGCCTGGGTAGATACTTTTGGATCTTTGAAAGAACAGAAGCAGAACAAAGCTCTCCATGTTGTACTGCCCCACACACAGCTTGCACACCTCATGAGAACTGTTTGCACTGTAAGCTTTGATTGTCTATCGAGATACTGTAATTGCTGAACACAAATCTGTGATCAGTATCATTCTTCTTCTTTCATCTCATCCTCCATCTTTTATTTTCAAAGCTTTGCTTGGCAGCCAACCCCACTGTTTTCCACACTAACAGGCTACTGGAAACCTACATCATGTGAAGCACTGACTCACTATGGGAAACACTGGTGTCTCAACAGGCAACAGCTGAAATGAAGCAGATGCTTAAAGTAAATGATTCTGGAGCAGCTTAACTCTTGAGATTCACTCATACTAAGTTCAGTTAGCTGGTATGAAAACAGAAATAGTTATTACCAGAAACTCGAGATAATTTGATAGTTGCAGTAAAACTTGAGAATATGACAAAAGTCACTTTCCTTTAAAAAAAAACAACCAAAGAAGAAAAAACACAGCTATGCAGTTACTGCCTTGGAGTAAGACAGTTCACAGAAGAACTTTCCAAAACAGCAAAGGACAAAGTCACTACCACAGAGGTTATCACATTGACGATCAACATCCCATCAATCCCCAGAGCTGGGTGTAGCCACTGAGAAAGCACTTCTCAGACTGCATCTCTAAGGCTGAGCTGTGCACAACAGGTTACTTGTGGGTGTTACTGTCCTGAATTTTACTAAGACTCCTGCTTAAAAACAAATACAATTGTTGTTTGCTTACCATTACAGGCCGCAGAATTCATCAGCAAATGTAGTATTTCTTCACTCTACTGTGGTTCCTTTGATCATTTTGAAATTTCGGCAGCAGAGTGAGTGCAGCCCTGTCAGGTACGATCCCTGACACCAAACCTTTGAGACGTCCCGCACACCAACCTGCAACAAGGCAGACAAGGGCATTCTGAGGATCACCATCAGCACTAAGAATTTTTCTATCTCTTACCCTCTTAGCTCATGGAAGAAAAATACTATTCAGTTTCCCCACTGACAATGAAACTTTGGCCTAGAAAAATCAATACAAGAAAAAATTAAATATTTAACTATACTGGGTCAAGCTGCAGAATGAAAGTAACTTGTCTGAAATAATGATAGATGGAAATGTCTGAGATGAAGGCAAAAGACTGATGAGAGGTACTGTCCTGGTGCTAACTGATCTCAGTGCTTTGCAAGTAATGACAGCAAATGGGAGTCTGCTAAAAATGAAAGAATGTTTTTCTTAACTGACAGCATTCTTCGTAATAAGAGCTGTATGTTTTTCCAATAACTTTTATTACATATGAGATGAAACATCAGCAGTTTCATTGAATAAAACAATGTATAATTCAAAATAGCATAACATTCAAAGATCAACTTTTACAAGTTCCTTCCTTGCACCCTGCAGCTTTGAATGAAGGCTTATCGCAGTACTGCTAGCATGGAAGTGAATACATTCTGACTCTGCCTACTGGCTTTGTCTTGAGGCACAAGAGCAGGGAAGCACACTCCTAAGATGCGATGAACTGAAAATTTTATCTCCAGATGAGCAGAAGACACATTTAGTAGAGGTTCACTTTGGAGACTGAATAGCAAATGGAACTGCCAAATAGTCTGGCATGAAATGACCATGAATGGAAAGCGTTTTATTGTAAAAAAGGATTCAAGTAAACCTGCAGTAATTTTCTGTTAAACTCTTGCTAGTACATACACACTAAAATCACCGCTCAAAATAGGCACTCAGTTTTTCCACTTGTCTTAATTTCTTCTGAACGTTTCTTGAAAGCAGACAGAACTCTACAAAATACTGCAGGACTCACAGATCAACACCAGTACTTCCTATTTCTTGTAGAAAAATTTGCAACGTTTTCCTCCTTCATAGTTATAATGGCTTCAAAACTATCTGCTATAACTGAAACACTTAAGATTTTTATCAACTCCAGAGACCTTCCACTATGCAAGACATGTATGATCAAAAAAAAAAAAAAAAAAAGCATAATGTCTTATTTTATCCAAGTTTAACCCAGCCCTCAAGGTCACTCAAATCTTACTGCATAACACTGCAGTTCTCTCAGAGATTAACAGCTCACACATCTACTTTTGTGGCAGCAATATGCCACATTTGCACACTTCATTTTGGAGACTTCACAAGATCGGGTCATATAGCACCAATCACCTTCTCTCCAGTGGACAATTTCTGGATCTATAAATTTTTGTCAAGGATGACAAAGTACTGTCCTCTTCAAATAAAACAGTATTGTACCTCAAAGGCTTAAGCACAGTGTTATCAAAAAGCACTTATCTTCATTAGCCTAAAATAAGAAAGGATAACAATATACGTGTTAGAATGTTTGTATTCAGAGACACCTCTGTCCACGTGAACACACACACATCTGGACACAATTCTACTCAGCATCAAAGCCTCTGGAAGCATTTCTGTCACAATGGGCCACGTGTCCAGTACAGACATAAGAACGAGGACAAGTTGTAATCAAATCACATTACTTTCTGCACAGCAGCTAGCTTCAGCAAGCCACACCAACGGACATCAATTCATAAAAGTCAGGTGGAAACTGCAAAAGATTCTTAAGAGAAAGGTCAAGACCTTGACAAAGGCTGCTGACAGCCTTGGATCTAAAACAGAAAGGAAAAAAAATAAAAAAGGTAAACAACATCTCACAGAGTTGATCTATCAAGGGAGCTAGAAATCCACCGAGCACATGTATGCACATGTGTACACATAGATAAAAATAAGACTTTAACCTCTGTATGCCTTAATAGAGGTACATGTTCAACCTGGAATGCCCAAGCTAGTTTCCACTCACGCCCCAATATTTCTCTAGCATTAAGGATGACTCCCTGGTCATCAGCAGACAGACGCCTCGTGCTTCTTACAAATGGGTCAGTGCTGTCCAGGGATAGAGCCAGGCAGCTGCTTACTGGCACTCAGGTGGGACAGGGAGGGAAACACCTGACAGCTGAGGTGTTCCAGAATTGCATAACGCCTTTCAGAAAAACACACTGTGATGCTGTTTTGAAACCATCCAGAAAGAACACTGGTCAGAGATTCTGGAAGAGGAGAGAAAGAATTGAGCACTGATGTTTTCAGTATTTGTGAAGGGGCTTCATTCCTGTAATTTGTATTTGCAATGTATCTGATTAGCTAGTAGAGGGTTACATTAAGGACTATGCCAAATTCCCAAAATTTCACTGAATTCAGTTTTATTTTATTTCTTAAAAATGTTCCAGAAAATACGACTTTCCCCAAAGCCTCTGACAAAGGCTTATATGTAAGACTGACTTCACTGGCACCAAGCTGCTCATCTGGAAGCAGTGTCAGGACCAGGACCTGAAGGCAGCAAGTCTCATGGCAAACACCAGCACTGAAAACAGAGACAGCAAGCAAGAGAACAGATGTAGAAGACATCTACAAAGAGGAAAAAAGGTTATTCTGTTTTTGTAGCTGAAGCCTGTCAGCACGCAGCACTCTGCTGACAAGCAGCAAGTTTCAGGAAGTGATACGCAGGCTGAGTACTTTGAGCCTTTTCTTGATCAGAAAGACAGACAAACTTCCCTGCGCTCAGTGCTAACCACAGGCACCTACTGCCCTAAGAATGGGCACAGGCTGTCTTCCTTCTGACCGAGGCACATTTTAGCGGCTCCACCAAGCGCACTGCACCTTGCTGCTCTGACAGCAGCTCCTTTTCACACCTACCAATTTGCTGCTTATGTCCTGTTGAGCTGGTGGATCAATGGTGCACCTGCAGCACAGATCCGTTTTGATTTTGGTTTGGTTGTTTTCTTCTTTTTTCTATTGCTTTTGTTGTTGTTATTTTTTAAAAGTTTTTTCAAGCTAAAACTGTTACAGGGTGAAAAACCTGCAGCCGAGCTGTAATACCAATAACGACATCTCTTCTCTTTACTCTTCAGCAAAACCTTTTGTCTACTACTTCAATTTTCTTACAATGTTTTCCTTTGCTTTAGGTTTTTAGTATGAAGAAATCTGTTGTATGAAGAAGACAGAGATGAAAACAGTTGTCAGCCAATTTTGGAGAGAGTTCATTAACTTCAAGAAACAACAAATGTGACTTAACAGAAGCTCCAAGGAGAGGGACGGATTAGTTTTGCGTTACAAAATCCCAGACTTATCGTACTTTACCCAAAGGCAACACCTCCACAGAGTACAGACCTCCCAGTTACTTTCGTTTCCCCGGTTTTACTGAAGACATCTGCTCATTCATCACTCAGCAGCACAACTAACCTGTAGAAATTCACATTTCACTGTGGTTACAGAAATCATACAGAAAGTCTGAAAGTAGCAGTTCAGATTCATTTTTCTTCTACAAAGCACTCCCCTTCATGTCTTTCTCTTGGTCCAGTTATGAGATATACATCCAACTTTTGATCAGTGGCTTCTTTAATTTAATATTAATACAATCCATTACTGGGTTTGGATACTGTTTTGTAAAAAGTGTTCCCAATCTCCTTACTCAGACATTCTTACTGGTTCATTTGACGCCTCCACAAACTTCTGTAAAGAAGCACTGCAAGGTTTTTGGTTATCTATTTGGTTTGTTTATTAACTTCAATGAGTCTCAAGAATTTACCCTGGCAGTAGGTGTAACAGAAGTGGTGCTCCAGCCCTACCTTGAATGCTCATCCTACATCTGTACGGTTGTGGAAATACCTTAATTCAGATCAAATTAATCACAATCATATTGAGAACGAGAAAATTTTAAAGCAAATCTCTCATACCACCTTCGAACCGAAATACTGAGATTCGCTTGAAGTCCTTTTAGGCAAAATATAGTGACAGAGTGTTTAGCAGGGCCAGGTTTGGAATTCTTTTTTACCAAATCTACAACAAAATGCATGTTATTGGAATACGTACACAAAAGATTTCTTTCAGGAAATATGTAACTTGGGTTACTAAAATGTCACACTATACTTCAGTGTCTTAAAAGGCAGACACCATTTTGTAACGCTGCTAAAGTTATCACCTGCAGAAACTAGAGTCCATAATTAAGAACTCCCCAATATATTTCAGAAATCCTTAAAATACAATTCATATTCTCTTTTTTAAAAAAATAAACAAGCATAAATGAAGTAAACTAAAATTAATACATAGACTAAGATATTTCCTCCTACTTTACAGTTTAGCAGGAAAAAATCTCTTCCTTGTTATCCTAAATAGCAGTCTAAAGAAAGATAAATTGAGCTGATGCTTGGCTTTCAGCTTACTTTAATCAGCGACATATAAGGCAGCTTATTGGAGAAATGAAATAAATGCTTAGGAACAAAAGTCAGAACAAAACAGCATTAGATAAAACTGGGACTACTTCCTCTCCAGTACTACCTTCAAAATTACATTGAAAACCACAAGAAAAGCCAAAAGTGTATCGATTCCTCCCATAAAACAAATTTTAAACTTTCTAAACAACAGCAGAGCAGAGCATTGTGACTGCACTAGTTGCAGCTCCTGGTCAATCTGCAGTTCCCTCCTTCATTTCACCTCTTCTTACACTGGAACTCTGTGGCTACCAACATCTTACAGATGTCCCTCTGGATATGCCTGGAAAACAGGACTTCTATGCAAGGACTGATTCCTGCTCTCTGGGGAGTAATATTTCATTAACACAGGAACTATTTCCTGAAAGCAGGAAGTTTGAAGTAATAAGACACATGCAGAGCCCATCCCAGAAGTACTGCGAGGTCTCCAAGATTTTTTGCTACGATCTTTATTGCTCCAGCAGTTTTAAAGGTTTCGTAGCACTGCTGGAGTGCTTTTGAATTTCAGCAACTAGAGTTCTCAATCTGGTGCAAGAATGTAAGTAATTAAGAACTTAGCAACATTTAAACTATTTCTCATCTAGAATTGCAATTTTTTATAAGTAAAGGCAAGGATAGAAACACCATTACTACAGGCAGCTGCAAAGCACACATGACTCCTGCAAGATCTCACAGCTCTCCAGCATCAATGGCAGCTCTTTGCCAGAACCCAGCATGGCTCCAACACACGCTGTCCTTCTGTCAGCACGTTCCTACTGGCGCTCGTTGTACCTTGGCAGGGCTCATAGCAACAGGGCTGCACCAGCACAGACAAGATGTGGATGTACACCACAACTAGCCCCAGTGAAAAGCACTGCAGATCTGAGAGCTGTGGGATCTACTAGAAGAGACAGAAAATATGCCACGCTGATAATACAGTGATGCACTTCCACTAGTCATCCAGAACCAGGTCAGAGAGCATAATGAAATAAAAAGGGACAGAAATGACAATTTAGGAAGTAACCAAATCAAAATTGAGAAAAGGAAAATTTTTTTAATGAAAATATAACTATACAATGTAACTAAACTCCATAAAATCCCAAGTTTCTCTCTTATTGCTGGTGGAAGAAATACGTGGTTTTGGCTTTTTTCTTTTTCCTCTCCAAGTATATTACATCAAAAAAACTCTGACTAAAAATGGATTTCAGCAGTAGCTCCATGATCTGACCAAATGGTAGCATCCTAAAAGATAATCCATGATCCAAATTAGAAACACCAGGGGAAAGCAAGCAGCCATACATAGGAAAAGCATGAAAACCATGAAGTTCCTCAGAAGCAAACCTGGGAAGAAAACCTAAGCTTCACAGCTTGCTGGCAAGATCTTACCTGGTAAATCAGGGAGGTCCCATGGAAGCATAAAACACCCATTTAATTAGTGCCACGGCCATTTCCCTACTTTTCAAAATTCTGACTGCTTTTAACTATCACTTAAAGTGTCCGCTACAGTTTAAGAGCAGGCCTGAAATCCGAACATTGCCAAAAACCCAATATATTATTTTAACAACCACATCCTGTGGTTAAAACATAATAAATTGCAGAGGCATTTCTCCTGCCTGCAATCCCTTCTTTCCATCCTGTGCACATACAAATTCTCAAAGCCATCTGAAGCTCTCAGCCTATGAATGACAAGGATGGCCGCTGTGGTTAAAGCAAAGAGCTTTAACCCATTTTCCAACTTTCAGCCCTCCCAAGATCTCCCGCTGGCTGGCTCTGAGTGAGGCGTGCTCCCTTTTGTCTCTCAAAGGGGCCGAACTAATACCAGCACCCATCCACAAAGGTGCTGACAAAATAAATGAATACTTGAGACATTTTAAGAGTACAGCAGTCCAAAGCTTGTACGACACAAACCATTTTGGACTATAACAACGCAATACAGTAAACATCAACTTTTGCAATTAAACTTTTTGCTTAACTTTAATCTTATACTTGCAGAAATTAGCCCTGAAGGAGAAAGTCTGTTTGGCCGTGGCAGGAAGCACAATGCCAGGCTTTAAATATCACATAAAAATAATTAAGTTATTGCATCATATTATTATACTTATTTTTGAATATAAAATTAAATAAGAATGCATGTTAAGGATAACTGAATGCCAGTCATTCCGCTCCCAGCAATAGTCACGGCAGTTACAGAAACAGAGTCAATCAGCGCTGCAAATTCAGTTATGAAAGCGGGAAAAAGTCCTTCATTTATGGTTTAATCATCTGAGAATTAAAGGTGGCTTTTTCAATATACCTGAACAACAGCAAGGCAGAGCAGCAGATAAAATCATAGGGCTTCTTGCATCCCTTTCTCATATTTGTAACCCAACTACTACATTTTTTAATGTAGGGTTCAACCTGATTGGTAGATTATTGCCATTATTTCATTACTTCCAAAGTATAAGTTTCTGCTCAAGTAAATGAACCCTAATATAAGAGGCCAATGGCCTACCAGTGAAACGACAGGTACTGCTGCCAGGGATGTACTCAAATCCAAACAGCTGCTATGACAAGTTGGCAAGTTCACATTAATGAATCAACTCCCGCCCAACTCGCCTCCTTCCCTTTCTGGTTTAAATTAGTTTAGTGAACAGAACTCTAGAGAACTTCTGCTGCTCATTTTTAACAACTACACCCGTGGATCTGGCTCCAGCTCTGGGACAGGGGCTTTGCTGGTAACAGTTGTTCAAAAGAGCTTCCCCTTCTCTCCCTCCCCACTGCTTGCTCCTACCTTGTCACCACGCGACACTGCTGTTTCGTTATGAGCATGCAACTATTTCTAGGCCCACACTCAGCAAATTCAGCTCAAAAATAACCTACTGGCGCCTCTCGGTTCTCGTTCCTTTTCCCCTAATAAGCCCAGCAGCACAGCAACACAGCGCAGCCAGGGCAGATGCTGCGGCTGGCAGCAGGGCGAAGGCAGGAAGGAGCTGTGCCCCCTGCATGCCCTGAGCCCAGAGAGATGCTAGGGAAGGTTCAGTGATGGGAAAGGTCACCTGCTTGGGGAAAACAGGCCGCTCATGTTAGCAAGTAGCCAGGACAGTCTCTATTTTAATGCTTGCCACAGTGACTGCCAGTTCAGTTACAGCCAGTCCATACTCCCAGGGAAATACTCAAGAATCTAAGAAAGGGGAACCAATAAGTACACACAAGAGTAGCCTCCCCCCAGCCAGGCTGGCTTACCCCACTGAAATGAAGGCAATGCGAGGCGTGTTCCCCGAGCAGGGCGGAGGGCTGCGGTTGCACCACTTGGATGGAGCTGAGCAGCGGCACCGGTCTGGGCAGCAGCTCTCCTTCCTGTGAGTCAGTGCTGAGCCAGACGCTGCCCTGCAGCCATCCCCGCAGCTCTGTGCCGGCAGAAGCCAGGACTCTGCACGGGCTGCAGAGCAGGATCCACGCTTTTGCTTACTAGAAAAAGATCTGTTATTTTATTTTTCAGAAAGAGCAAGAATATATTGCTAATACTTTGGGCAAGTTCCAGCAGCCAAATTACCGTTAATGCCCAGAGCGCATTCTGCTTTTGCGAGGGGCCTCCCAGAGGAGCACCTAACACCTCCTGTACTCTTGTTAGCATCAGCGTTTTGCAGGCAGAAAAAGCCAGAAGAAAAGCGGACTTGCTAGGATCACCCTATCAACACCAACTGCATCTGCTGGCTGCCAGGTTTGTGCTTCCACCGCTTAATCATGCTGAGTGCCACCTAAAAAACAGTAACTTCACATGGGAAAAAATCCATTCTTCCATCTTAGACTGTCACATGGTAAGACACACACCACAAGTACCTGTGTGTAAGTGCACGTCGGGGGAGGACTAAATGAAGAAGTTTCACAATCAAAAGAAGAAGCTTCAGCTCATGCTTTTAATAAGAGAGTTCTTAGTGCAAACAGAGAAACATCAATTCTGTTGTGACTATTTTTATGTAAATACATTTTATATGCTTTACACATTTTTACACACCTACGCAAATCACAGAACCAAGTCGTCCTGCATTTCATTTCCAGTTTAGAAAGACATACTATTTCCCAATGAGAAAGAAAAAAAAAGGCACAAACATGTACACGTTTTGTATTTCTAACGCAACGCTCTCAAACGTTTTCATGTCCAAAAGTTGCTTTTACTCTAACAACTTCCTTCAGATATTTCTGTTGACACTTAATTAAGCCATTTAACGGTCTCTGACAAACTTTCAACAGGGAATACCATGATGCTTGAAAAAAGAAAGTGTCTCAAAGGCAAAAATTTAACAAATGAAGCAGAAATGCAATAGCCTGTGCGACGTGACAAACCCTGTATTCATACCTAACACGTAGCCTGCTTCATTCAGGAGCCAGCAGCCAAACATCTGAGGGTAAGAAAAAACACAAACCATATGCAACCCTTCAGTGACCTAAACCACGCACAGAACAGGCACATCTACATTTTTAGCTACTCTACACACAGCCATAGAAATGCTGTAACATTTAGTTAAACCACAGCAGGTTTGTAACAAAGGTACCAACAGTACAACGTCCCTTTGGGAAATGAATTGTGCAGGGTCACTTAAAGGTACTGAGCACAAATTAAGAGCAGTAGAAGAATAAGTTCTTATATTGAGATAATGCTATGGACAATGAACAAAGAAACTAACATTCACTGAACTCCCCACCCAAAACACTGATTTATGAAATCCTGAGTTCTTAGACAGGATGACGCACAAAAGTAAAAAAAAATAAAATAAAAATATAACAGCTGCAATCAACCATGCCAAGACGAGGAGATGTTTTGCATGCACTGTGAGCACTAGATGTCTGCATTATCAACATCATGGGTGAAAATAAACCTGTACCGTGAGCATAAAGCCAGAATGTAAGTAACCTAAAATAAACAAATATTAAGAGTTACAGAAAATGGTATTCACAACAGGAAATGCATTAACTAATACAACAATTATTTCAAGTTTTGTTTGACTTTAAGCTTCCCCAAAGGTTTCCTCTTGGCTGAGATGATGACTGGAAGCTAGCACAAAAATGCATGGAGAAACGTGTCATTTAAATAAAAGGCAACAATGCTGAATTAAGTACCAGTCTGCACGCAGTCCCCACCTTCCTTCCTGCAGTCTGCAGAGGGGAGGCCAGAGAGCTCTGCCCCAGAGCACAAGCAGATGGGGCCAGAGGTCTGGGCTCCCCACTGCTCCCAGGGATCAGCCACTCCTGCTCCGAGCAAACAAACGTCTCTCCCAGTTCATCCTTTTATGATCCCACAGAAGCCATTAACAGATCAGCCTAAGAGACAGCAAATATTTGGTGAATCTTCAGGAGCATCAAGGAACTCACTGACTGCATGGTAAATCTATACGAACGAATCCCCAAAGAGAAACGTGCTCACTCTGACTCAAATGAAACAAAAGAAACACCAGCATCTCATCAATAAAAAAACCAGAGGTTTGTTTCAATACTCCTGCTTTTAAGGTCCTTACAGCTAGTTCTTGTTCAGAAATTATTCACTTGCACATAAGAGGAAAAACAAGATAACAGCCCCAACACAACACCGTCTCACACGCTACCGAAACCCAGCATGTAACCTTGCTCATATATTCCTTCATTTAGTGTGCTTGAAATCTAGAATGAGTAGAGAAACATACACAAAAGTGTAAGTCACAGGCCCAATTAAAGTGCACAGAAGTTTGCAGCCTTCTCCATTAAGGCAGGAAGGAAGTTATAAGAATGATTTAGCCTCCTGGCTGACAAGCTTACAGCTTTATCAGAATATTTATGCTAGCTGACATTTTTAGTATAACACTACATCACAAAACTGTGTGTTTTAATCAGAGCTTTCAGCACTTGCCCACAGAGAGAAATTAAACTTATGTCAAGAACAGGTGAAAATTCAGAAAGCATGAGAAAGAGAAGCTGTACAGCATTAAAACGCTTTTGAAAAAAATTAGAGGGAAAAACAAACCCACTCAGTATCAGAAGTTATGGGGGTTCGTAACGTATAAAATCTCCCCTAACAACTGCCAATGTACAAACTATCTCCTCCTGTAAATGAAGCCAGAACAAACTGTCTCACGTGTGCCTTACATAGGATGGCAATGCACACAGGAGGCATTATGGCTCGTTCCTCAGCAACTTTCTCTGCAGTCATCCTCCCAGGTTTTCATGCGGACCAGTTACCTCCCCAGGCAGGGGCTAAGAACTACCAGGACCAAAATTACTTTGCTATGCCCCAACATGTCAGCAGACATACAGACTGCCTGACTGTGCACCATTCTGGAGAGGGAGAGAAAACACAGATTCAAAATACAGCTCCGCTGCACAAATTCCTTTGATTACGCATGATCTGACATCTACATTCTGAATGTCAATTGGATATTTCTAGTTCTTTGTAGGTAACATCCCTGTTCAAGACCCAGAGCCCAGTTAGGAGGATGGACTGTATTGCAACGTACTGAGGAAGGAGTGGTGCTCAGCCTCCACACTTGAACAAGGCATCATTAAAAGACCATCCGCAATTACCTGGGCTGTTCCCTAACAGAACAGGTGGTTAGTGCCCATAAAAACCAGTTTTTCAGGTCTGAACTCAAATTGCATGGTAACCACGCAACAGACCACCCAGGGGTTTGTGCCCAACAGAGGGCCAGGCAGCAGCTGAGGGAATGGTGAGAGAATCCAAGCTTGCCTGGATCCTTCTGCCAGGTAGAGATAGGCCTGTAGCAAGTGTGAAGCACAGAGATGCGAGCCCAGGAGAGCATCAGTCAGACCCCAGGAAACATGTCAAAAAAGGGAGGCTCAAAGAACAGCATGCAAAATTGTTCATTTTGCACTGACTGGAAATCTTCAGCATCACCTAAAAGCTTTCTTCAGAACGTGGTGCACAGTTAGCTGGTGTCTGTGACTGTCAGCTACCCCAGGCATCCAGGAGCCCAGTGGTACTGGTGGTACTGTGCCTCCAGAGCAATTTACTTGAAATGGCTACACAGTCAGTGCTGGTTTTAAGGCCCAAGCCAGCTGTTCCAAGGCTCAGGCCCAGTGAGCAAGCCTGCAGAGGCACTACACCAAGCAGCTCTGAAGCCCCAAAGTGCTCAATGCACTCATGTATGGGGGCACAGCACTACTGACTGCTGCCTTGCAGAGAGGGCCTCTCTGCCTACAACCTGCAGTCAGCCTGTTTCCACAAATGAGAGCCACAGTCAAAGGAATCATTCCTCTTCTACCCTCAGCCACCTTTTCCCGCTCTCGAAACCCCTCTGTTTCTAGTGAGAATGTTTTCACAGCGTGTAAGAACAGAAACACACCATCCTTTTTCCAACTATTCCAACTGCACACAGCGTTACTTAGCACAGCTTTCAGCACGCTGAATACACAGTGTGCCGGAGAAGTGCTGCCTCACTCCCTGGCTTGGTTTCAATGAGAAAATAAATTAACCAGCTTATGCATCCACACTTTCTGCAGCCAGCACTCCTCACAGACTTACCATCAAGTAGCATGATATTTTTTTTGGCAAGTGCTTCTTAAAACGCTGGTTATCCATCTGTAAATGCACAAGATCAAAGAATGATGCCCGGGACACCTGTACACAGAGATGAGAAGCCATCCAGAAAGACAAACAAGCACAGCAGCTTTTTGATTCTGTGTTCTCCAGGAATGACATTTTAGTTAGCTTTCTTCATGTGTAAGTTTTTTTCAGCAGCAGAGATAACTAAGAAAAGCTTAACCATCACTGGCAAGGGAACCATACCTCAGTGAAGTACAGCAGAATGCATTTCTGACAGCCTGGATGAATGTAGGGCAAAAATTGATTCAACATTTAAAACAAGTACTTAAGCCACTATGGTAAACCAGTTGAGCTACAACTACACCCAAATTCCCTGTCTAGACATGTTTTATCAACAGTTACAGAACACACACACAGTCAATATAACAAAGTGAACAGCTTGATTCTAAATCTGTCCAAAATCTAGAGGGGAAAAAAAAGCCAAAAAACACAACAAGACAATTATTTCATTCTTTCAATACATTATTCATGAATCCCAATTTAATCACCACTGTCCAGTAAGGCTGTTAGCTAACTGGTCTGCACCTGGCCAGAAGCAAGGCAGCAGCCCCCAGTTCTGCTCCCACTGACAAGTGATGTCACCAAAGCTCTATGGCTCAGTGAGCTCCCAGCACGCAGGCAATCAACACCTCAGCTCCTGGGGTTGAACAACCCTGCCTGTGTGAGACCTTGCATATTTGTGGTGCTGTAAGAACCATGTCCAATTAGATTTACATGGTAACTGTGCTGCTTTTTTTTCCTATTTTTTTTTGAAAGCATTGCATATTATTTATAGTTACAAAACTAAATTCTCACTTTCTCAGATCAGTTCCTGGTTTTGTCTGCCTCTGCAGTGCTGTGATGCATCTCCTGCCTTCTTCTACGGTGCAGCATCATGAGAGAGAAGGGAGGGGGGGATTATAACTGCTGTGTAGCATTCGTTTGCTAATTGTAATCCAAAAGCAGAGAATACAAAATCATAAACAGGACACTCCTTAGGAACTTACAAAAAAAAAAAACCCTGTAGATTTTTAAGAAGTAACTGAGTGAAGTATTCTCACATTCATTTCCCATTGCACAAGGAAAGCAGAGGAGCACAAATCTCTCTATTGCAGTACTGCAGTGGGGCTAACAATTCCACCAGCAGTATGGCACACAAAACACAGCCCTGGTTGCTCCAGCAGCCTGCAGCTTTAGGATGCAGCCCAACAACAACGGCCCCTGCCCGTCTCCTTAAGTCCAACAACGCTGCCTTCCCACTTCCTCTATCTTGCTTGTTCTGTTCCTTTGGAGGAAAAAGTTCCCACTTATAATTAAAAATTAAAAAAAAAAAAAAAAAAACTGCTTATCCTATAGAAACTGCCGCTTTGGCCAGAGTTCCAGAACCAGCTCAGGAAACAGGCAGAGCTGCCCTGTCCCACCGACAGACATGGGATCACACCATGAACCCACCCAGGGTTCAATTTACTCCCTTGTTCCTCTTCAGACACAGGAGAATATTTTCCAAAAATACACTTTACAAAGCCATCAACAGTCATTTGCACATAACCAGCACACAGAAAGCAATCTGACATTTCCAGGACATTCCCAAAAGAAGCTGCTGGACATATGTAAAGCACTCGCTGAGAAAGAATTCTTAAACTCATGAGCAGCAAATGAACATCCATAGCAGAGCAAAATGGGGCCCCCAAAAGCCAAACCTCAATCAGCTCCTGAGCTCAGAACAGCAGCCATGGGCAGGGCAGCAGATGTTCTTCCCACCCCACACGTGAGGAAACACACTGCAATGCTGATGCTCCCTTCAGGCTTCTTACTGAAATACATCGGCCAGCAACCTATGAGTTATAAATGGACAGGAGTATTCTTTACCTGTATTCCTCTTCTAATGAAGTGCACAGGGCACGCACACATGAGTGTATGTACCACATACAGGGTGAGTAAGTAAAGATCACAATTGATTCATTGCTTTTATCTGCAATAAGGGCTTTCAGAGGGTTTTCACCTCAAACCCAGATTAATCCTGATCAAAGCGCGCTCATAATGACAACACACAATTTCTCTTCTCTACGATTTATTTTAGTTTACTGCAGTAAAAGTGTACCTCACAAACACGGCTGTGCTCCTCACACACCACTTCCCCCATCCCACCCAGTGCTGCGGTGCCGGCCACCCTCCAGCAGCAGCCCAGCAGGGGGGAAGTGAGAAAGTGTTGAGAGCTGTGCCCCAGCTTCCTTTCAAATGAGGAAATTGAAATTGAAAACCCATTCTGCTACTGGAACTTGGGGTTTTTTTGACTCAGCCCCAGAAGTTCAGAGGAAACAACGGAGAACCAGCTACAGACAAGAAGCCCAAGGAGGAAGTTTGTTCTCCCCCAGTGTGTCCCCATTTCCCTTCAGCACGGCTCCAGCAGCAGGTCCTACCTGAAAGTAATGTAACAGATGGACCAGGGCTGACACGAGCCAGGTGCTAAGAACACCTGGCATTTAAAATGATCCCTTTACTGCCCATTGCCATTTATTTCAGCTGCCCATGAGTAAATCCCAGTGACCTCAGACTGCTCCCAACCCAGCTCTGATGGCTGCTTCCACCACGCTTGCTACCCAGCCCAGCAGCATCTGCACGCTCCATTTGGCTTACACGGGCAGAACAGCGCCTGAATGAAAGTCAGACACTGCTAGTGCTTTGCTCAG